ACTTTCTCTATAAAAGGAGCTAGGGAGGCTCTCTTTTTCTGCTTCATCTCACTCTCATTTTGTGCACAAAGACCTAGAGGCTGCTAAGAGTGGGTCTGGGTCTGGTTGTCATGGGGGATATTGTTTTAACTAGAGTTCTGCCTGGCGGTGCTATAAACACTGGTGTTATTAGTGTCTCAAATCGGTATGATGTCGCATGCATGCCTACAATTGAAGGTGGACATAATTCAGCAGTGCTGATAGCAGGAGATGCTCGTCAAGAAGGCGTCATCCATCGTTTCAACTTCAGAATGAGGACAAATGGAGCCCGTGCAAAGCAAACCCTAACTGGTATGAAGCAATTCTTTGACCTTCATGGATTGCAAGCTGGGGATCAAATTATAATCTATCTTGTGCAAGAAGAACTGAAGTTACTTGGAAGAGTCGTTCGCCCCGCAGTTTATTTAATTGATTTTGAGAGGAAGCCTGTAGCCTAATTAAATAGGCATGTTTGGATTGGAATGTTATATATATGTTGGTATCTTCATCTAGAGGTCTGGAGTACATTAAACATTTCTGTTATGTTTCTTTTTCTTTTTTTGAAAATAAGCTACCTTTATCGATCGGAGCCATTCTGGAGTTCCGTGTGGATGCAGAATACCGAGTCTATAGTAGAATGGCCTTTATGTTGGTTTTGTTTGAATGTTTTCTGTTGATAGGTAAAAGAAGAAAAAAGGGGCCTAGGTGCATGATTGTGAAATATTCTGTTCTTTTGCCATATATATTTTGACTTCAAATGTTCTTTTATCTTTCTACTTTTAAGTTGTCATGAGAATTAATTAATTAAATTCTCTTTTGCATGACAAAATAATATAAATAAATTTTGAGAATGTTAGAATCGAATGGCTTGATTTCTAGTTTTTGGCTTCTGGCCTATGCAATAAGGAAGGGAGAGAATAGAGAACAATCATGACCGTTATTGCTATGAAATATCAATAAAAGTTTGACTAAATTTGTGTCTTAAAATAGATAATTTAAATATCTATGCCATGATGCATGGTACTCCTATACATTGTCCGCCTTCCTACAAGTTTAACTTTCGACTTTGGACAGGTTCACCCATATTTAAATTATTAAATATAGAGACATGGTTATGATGATATAATTTAATTATTTTTATTATTAATTTTTAATTTTTTATTAAATATTTAGTTTTGTTATGATATTTAAAAATATTTATATTTTTTTTATCAATAAAATAAATTTTATTATATGGAACATGAGGAATACTCTTATTCATCTACAATAATTAAAACTCACTACATCCCAAAAACCATGCTAGGAAACGAAATCCCAATCCTAAACAAAAATCCAAAATTGAAAACATGCTAGCACTGCTTATAAATACTCAAAGAATCATTACGGATATTGGTGCAAACTATATTTGAGGGTTAAAGCGAGCTATATTCGAGGGTTCCTTAAAGAAATGGAAGTCTTTAGCTAGATAATAAAATCTAGAGGCCATGGATCAGCATAAAAATCTGTCGACTTGTAAACATAAAGTAGCTCACATACTTAATTTTTATTAATAAGTTCAATGCAGTACCGACATAACGAATAAAGTGAATGTTGCTACATGAATGTTTGACTAATGCGAATCTCCCCTATTTATCCAGAAAACAAGAAGGCATCCATTACTTATTTTCAAAAAAAAAAAAAAAAAAAAGGGAGGCATCCGAATCCAGTGGCATCATTATTGCCACAACCATTAGTAAGGCTTAAGACCACATATATAACAGTGTACGAAGCTTTATTGCGACATGATTTTTTTGTTAGTAAAATTAAAGAGTTCACAATGACAGATAAAACTCTAAGGGTCAGATTATTTATCAATATATATATATATATATATATTATATAAAGGCAATGATTAAACCACCGTAATCTATCTTATGGCGCGAGCCCTACAAGCCTACAAGCTCCTATCTTATCAGCCAAAGGAATTTCTTAAACTCAATGAGTGGTTCTTCAAAAATATATGCTAGTCTTTACCTAAATGGTAAAAGGATAATGCCATGGTGTCAGCACAATAGTTCTCTCGTAAAACTTTGCCAATGACTAAGTGTTATTTTATTTTTTTATAAATTAAGTTTAAATTTTAAATATTAAAATTAATATTTAAAAATTAATTTTTTTAATATATTAAATCAATATAAAAAAATATTTTTAAAATTACTACAGAAAAAAATACGTATAAGATGAATTATCAACACAAAAATTATTAAAAAAAGAATGCAAAAGTGAATGTTGCTAGCATCTCTCTACTAGTATTATACTTCTATTTTTTCTTATTTACTGGTAAAGAAAAAAAAATACACTAGTGTTCGTGAAAATGAAAGAAAGATCTATCTAAAAATGACTTCACCTTGAAGAATTATAATACCCCTGTGAGTAGTATATGGCTAGCTTGTTGGGGACTGAAGCGCACCTGCACAGAATTTTTGTTTCTTATTACTTTTTATGTGGTACGTCATCTTAGGTTATGGAGTTCAACACAAACAGCTTCGTATAAAAATCTCTTAAAAACGTTTTGATAATTAAGAATTTAATTTTTTATATTAAAGATTTTAAATTTAAATTTTAAAATAAATGAGGAAGGGTTTGAAAAAAAATATTATCTTATATTGTATAATCCATTATCTAATATAAAAAATATTTTATATGGTTGAACAATACATGGGTTATCATCAAACTACCGAAGTCCTTTTTCTTTTTATTTATTGGTCTATATTTTTTTATTGTATTATATAAAAAAAAGTTTTGTGCAATTCACACTACACTAAGCTATACTAAATTGTATAATACATGCCATTAGATAGAGGTGTATTTCCTCCAAAATCCTCTCCTCTTTGCCACCTATGGCAGAAGTACTCGAGTGTGTCACTTGTTTTACTCAAAACAAAAAAGAAGGATTTTTAGCAACCCTCATTTCTTCCGAGCATAAAAACTTGTTTAGAAGTTGATGAAAGAATGTCATTTAATTGAATGATTGTGCCAATAATAACTTAATCAAATGATTATAGTAGAAACGAGGGTGCATTACCACACGAAGGTTTATAAATAATTGTCTTAAAAGAATATCAAGGACTTTCTACATCTACAACCACAATGAAATTAGTTTGTTAAACAAAATAAGCAAAAACAAGAAAAAGAGAGCAGTGCATGGCAGAAATAAAAGATAATTTAAAACTAAAGTAACATGAGAACATTAAACTAAAGAGTGCAACAAAAATTTTAAAATTGACTAGAATTGGAAATTAAGAGTACTTGGAGAAATGTAAACTGAAGCTACGAAAAATGTAAAAAAACTAGCTACCAACAAAAATGAAACGAAATGAAACTAAAATTTTTACTTAAAAACTTAAAAAAAAATTAGTTACAACAAAAGCTTAAAACATAAATTTGCTAACAAAGCAAAATCTAAAGCTACACAACTAGAAAAAAATGTAAACTACTAACAAAAATGCAAAATGTGTTGACAGAAGAAGAACAACTATATTAAATTTAACTATTAAAACTAACTTAACGATGAATAACAAAAGCAAAGAACTTCTTGTTGGAGTTGAATCTTTTCTACACTAACAAGAAGTTGTAGAGTCGCTGTATGAACTATCTATGAACTAAACTAGTGCTAGATTAAAACATATTGAAGTGTTGATGTTGTTGGGAGGGGCAGGCCTATTTGAATGTGTTGAATTCTTATAATTGTTGCTAAGGAATGCACAAAAAATGATTTGTAACCACCCACAACTTAGCTACAAAAACGTGATTAAAACTAACTATTCTGATTGGATACATCAACAGTAAACTTGGTCAAAGACTATTCTAAAACTTGCCACCTGCATACCACTTCAACAAAATTAGCCTTTCACGTCACCCCTTTGTTGAACATGGTTGATAACTTCTTGTAAAATTTAGCCATTATCTCAATTAATATTAAATAACACCAGATTATTAGGAAATAGTTACTACAACTATAAATCGGACATTTCATGTAGCAGTCATTAATAAAGTCTGTTATATTCTAGATCATAGCAAAATTAGGTCTAATATGACTTAATCATGGCTACTTGTTTTAATCACATGACACATGGTATAATTTTGCAAGTTGTGGTATAATTAAGGTGAGCCTCCTAATAGATTTATATTGAGAGTCCTCCCCCATTTAATGACTTTTTTTTTAACTTCTAAATGAGCTATACAATAAAGGATAACCCTCTCCTTTCCCTAAATCCCTCTCCACCCAACTCAAAGTTCGAATCGAACTTGAAATCTATAACTTAGAATTTCAAACTCTTAATCATTGAACCACCTCTTTCGAGGTTAATGATTCATTTTTAATTATTTAATACAATTTAAACTGTAACATAAAAATCTCATATCATATACCTACATAAGAAATTTAGGGAGGGAGAAAGAAGGTGGTGGTTTCGACTTCAACCGTAACCACTAGCTACGGACTGGGCTAACTGCTCAAATAATTGTTTTGCAGTAAGGTGTTGATGACAATTTTTGACTAGTGGGTAACATTAACAAATGATAAGAATAGGAAAACAGGGGACTAGGCTAAGCGTGATGTCAAAAACGGTCAACTGCCATAGCTTGACGGACTCAGCCAATTCCAGAAATCACCGACATAAGGCTGTAGCAAAGAGTGCTGCAAGCGAACAGCCAGTCCACTAAAAGCAACTAACGGCATAGAAAAGCAAAAACTATCTCACACACCTCCCCTAAACATTTCATGTACCTAGCTTGCATACCACTTCAATGTGTATCTTAAACCTAAATATATGAATTTTCATTTTCATCCAACAATACATGAATTTAATTAATAAAGGAAGCTGCTGAGAATTACCCAGTAAAACCGGTACCAAAAACAGTAAAGCACATACATATCCAGCTATTGAAAGAGAAAACACTTGACAATGTCGCCCATACAAAAAGACTTGCAACTCTAAGCTTCAGGATGATTGACGTCAAATATGAAAGATACTGATCAAAACTATCTCACTATTGAATGTCATAAAATTTAAAATAAAAAGGAAAGAAGCACCTTGACACGGTTGCTAAATATCGATAGGCTTGTTTTACATGCAACCATGATTGTTAGTGTACATATTAAAACAAAGTTTACTCCATTTTTGTGCCTGAAGCGCTGCTGATGGAGATATGAGAGGTATTCATTTGGCAAGTGGCTGTAGAATGGAAAGGCAGTTTTAATTCTTGGTTTCGTACTGCCATAAACATGAAGCAAAAAGTACAGATTGTCAGCATCTATTGCAACATTAATCCATATCCCTGCTAGGATTCTGCAAACCAACATGCAATCAGATAGCATCACAACATAGGAAAAATTGCTGATGATCTTCAACTTTCATTTGTGAACAATGACGTGCAGAACAAAATTGACTAAGCCATGTCAACAAGTATGAATTAGGAAATAAATGCATAACAGCCAGCAAGGCAGGTGCATCATACTGATGTAGAGATATGTAGCACTGTTCCATGCCCAAAGGGACTTAACCCAATTCCAGAAATCACCAGCATTAGCGCTGCCAAGACCTGAAAAAACCCCCTTCACTACAAGGAAAGTTGCTGGAGGAAAGGCAATATGCCCAAAAACCAGATTACAAATCACCCTAGAAAAGCTTCTCAAACTTCTAGCTCTAAGATCAAGCCTCAAAGGTTGAGCCAACAAACATGTTGGGACCAATAGTAAAGCACCAATTTCCGCTGTGGCAAAATTAATGACTGACATGAGTCGCAAACCAATGAAGAGAGCTGAGATGTCACCAATTTCAAGAGAGCTCAATCTCCTTGTGGTTGAGATGCATTTGCATGGGTAAAAGGAGAAGCCAGAATTGAGTACAATACCTGAAGGCTGAGCAGCGAAAGCAAAATCCAGATCACAAAGCTAGTTGTTGAGGTGAGACCGGGTATCTGACAGATGAAAAATGGAAGGAAACAAGAACACCCCATGAGTGAATGATAAAAACTACTTTTGCTGCATTAAGCTATCTCCATGATCTAACTGTGATACTGTGCTCAACAGCAACAGGGAAAGAAGACAAAGTGGACTTGTCCTGCTTTAAACTAGAATTTGAATTATTGGCATTGATATAAAGTGAGGCTGCTACCATTGGAAGTGGGGCTATTAGGAGTGCAAATGCAATCATGTAGACTCCTACCAAGACAAACTTATTGGGAGATGTTAAGAAGCATAAGAAAAACGATTGGTGAAACTTCTCAAGAAGATTATTCAATGATCAGATAACTCTTTCAATCAATCTGCATCAAGCAGCATGATAACTTTCAGGAAAACGAGAAACAGTAAATTATCAAGATTCTCAACAAATTATAAAACTTGTGTGCTCCTAATACTTCTAAACTACAGTTAATAACTTTCGTTAAAATCATCCTCAGAAGTTGAATTTAGAAGTCATAAGCATGTATCAAAGATGACGTATACTGCAAGAATCATCACTATTTTGTAATTTTCAGGCACATCTGGCAATAGGAATTCAAATTACAAACAGGAATTGTTTGCATGAGCACTTACCAGCCACCTCTCAGAAAGAAATCGTTGTGCCTGACCTTCATATCATATGTAAATTTGGGTGATAACTCCAAGGTGATGGCATCAACCTGATAATCATGAAATGCACCATGTGGACCTGTGGGAACACCCAGGACCTGACAACAGACGGAGATAGAGGAAGTAAATCTGTGCTCAATAATAGTAAACAGCAAGAACATGCAACTTCTTAATTTTCTTGATCCTTCAATTTGATACTTAAAAGTGACAGATATTTGGCAATTAACACCCCATGAGAAGAAAGCAGGAAATTAATAGATAAACTAACCAAAAGAGGACACTACCTGAGAATACAATGAACTTGCAAGCATAGCAGTGCCTTCAATATAATCTGTAGCAGGGATGCCAAACTTCCCTTCAGGATTTAAGCTTCTAGCCACTTCTCCCACATATTCAATTATTGTGCCCAAAACTTTGAGCAAACTGCAGTCAAGTAGGGACAATAATTTCTCCACCTTCACAAGCAAACCCTGCCTATAATGAGCTGCCAAGTAATATATACAATATTGATGAGGTCCAAGTTTGGCATCTGCCCATTAGATGCCTAAGCATAAATGCTAACTGTGTCTTCCAATTCTTCAGTTCTATCACTGACCTTCAAGACCAGAGCAGCAGCGATAGTTCCAGCACATCTAAAATCACTGGTTATGAATTTTTCTTTCAACTTGCAAAGATTCTTAACATCATGGCACATCTCCACATTTTGTGAACTCAGACTGCTAAATTTAGGCACGTGATAATCTTTTAACCAAGCAGCAACAGGAGCATATTCTCCATATCGTGAACCCACAACAATCCATATAATATAATTTGCCAGCCAAGTAACTTGACTGAGCAAGGAAAATACTGAGAACGCTAGACCTACAGAGAAAGACTCACCAAGATCACTCTTTAAAGAATTGTAAGGAGTTTCCAAGATGATGGCTTCTTTCCCATCGCCACGTGGAGCCCTTATTATCCCAATGGTGTTGATGCCATATGATGAGCAACTAAAGTTCTCTTGAGCTCCAGAATCAGGATCAGAGAAAAAGTGCAGTGGATGAGACTATTTGACTGAGGATGGAATTTGTGATAACTAACTTCAGCACCCCAAGTCTGACATGTACTTTGCTATGATTCTCTGACTTTCTCTGACATGGCAATGCAGAAGGTGGTTGAAGGGACAAGCATGAACAATCCAAAAAAAGTATGAAGTTGGAAAATGATAACGAAATAGAATCTGAAAATTAAGCACCCCATCAACATTCCATATCTAAAAGCATGGAACAAAAAGGTAAGTTGTATTGAATTCTAAAGTTTGTATGAAAATCAAGCCAAACTGAAGCAGCAATTGAAAAACTCAGATAAGGTCACCTTCAAGTACTTTCAAACAGGAAAGATACCTGAAGGCAACCTAAACTTCATAACGGACACTTACATTCCCCCATCCAAATATTAGAATTCAGGTTGGTTAGCTCCTTAACCAATTTATTTCCATCCAAAACCTCCTGATTAGAAATCATGGGACTTGCAGAACCTACAAGACAATAAGATTGAACCCTCAGAATTTCTTGCACTGCCAAACAAGACAATATAAATGCACCCATAAATACTTAAGAAACAAATGCATTAAAAAGACCAAAGAGAAAAGTAAGGTATTTCAGCTTCCTATTTCTCGTTAACATCCTGCACTCAATTAAGGTATTAAACTGCAAATTCCTACTCAATCTAACTAAAGAAACGACCGAATTTGGCACTTTAAGTTGAATTTTCTACATCTGAAGAATAAAAAAATTCAGAAACCGGCTAAACTACCACAATCACATATTCACAAAGTCATGAGTAGAAAAACCGGAACGGAAATGGAAGAAAGGAAATGGAGCGACCTGGCATGAGGGCATTTTCGGAGATGTAAGTGTTATTAGCGAGAACAGGAAGGAGAAGCAGAGCCAGAACACCAGCAGTGCAACAAATAACACTATAACAAATTAAAGAGAGAAACAGTAGATTATAGGCGATTGAATCGAATCCAGATATGAAACAGAAGGAGAAAGAATGTAGATTCAAGGAGATAAAATCTACATGACGAGGAAGCTGTGAGAGATGAGGAAGATGCCGAGACGCACGATCGGTCTCGGTTTCGGTTTCGGCGTCTCCTTCTCCGTTGGAGTATCGCTCTTACCGTCGGCCATGGTTCCGATGGTTCCTAGCAGAGCACCGATCTGTGGCCGGATCTCGGACGGGAAAAGTGCTGTGTTGCTGAAAGAAATGGTTGAATCCGTCGAGTTAATTGGATTGGGCAATTTCTGGGCTCTGTTCAATTTAGCCTATTTTCTTTTGGGCCTGTCTATTTAGCCGGTTAACCGAGCAATAATTAGTCACGCTGATAAAAAATAAATAAATAAATAAAAATAAAAAAAGGCCCCAGTGTCTACTTTCTAATGCCAAATTAGTTGCAAGTTTCTGATTTTCATCGATTCGTAAAATTTATCTCCTTCTTTTTTTTCTTTTTTTTCTTTTTTGTACATTGAGTAGTATTTAAGCACTGATTAATCTAAAAATTTTAGGTTAACACACTTCTATCAACTTATTCTTAAGATCTTCATATACTTGATAAGGAAGTTCCTCAAATATATGAAGGCCTTTCTCCAAATGGTAAAAATTAGAAGTCATGTGATCAGCAAAATAATTTACTTCCTAAAAATGTGATGCAACTCAAATTGCTACTCTTTAATCTTGTAGTCCCCACACTTTGTTTAATAGCTAATTCAACATGTTGCTTGTATTCTTCTTAGCAAATAACTTTTGTTTTGTGAGTAAAGAATTTGTCTCAATGATGACCCGTCTAAATCCTTTATACCAAGCTAATTGTAGACCTCACCAAATATAAAATAATTCTGCAAGTACAGCAGAACCCACTCCAAGTGGTTTTGTGAAACCAAAAAACTCTCTAGATCCCCGTGTTTTTACTACAGTACTTATTATTATTTTGTATTTAAAGCTAGTAATCTTGCTTGCCAGCAACAATATGGGTCTATTTTCTTCATGACAATTAGGTTAAGGACTCTCTCTTTCAAAAGCAACTAATCTAATTGGATATTACAAAATAGTTGGCGTGTGCTTACCGCCCCATGACTTTCATCATGACGTACACGTGGAGCTTCTTCATGCTTTGTGAGTGACTCAATTTTATCATCATGCAAGAGATGAGATGGATAAATTATTATGTAAAAGAAAATATGGATTAATTCTTGAAATTTTCTATGTATCAGTAAAAGTATCAATTCTACCCCTTTTTAATATATATAATTTTTTTTTGTCTCATTTGCCAATTAAATCAGACAACAGCACTTTAAGAAAAAAAATACTCATGTTAAATGCCAGAGTTGATATTGATGAAAAAACTAGATTCGTTGTACCATGCATATGGTCCATATTAAAAATTTAGAGCCTGGATTTGATACCCATCAATTTTATTTGATTTTGCTGGCCGATGTTGAAGGGTTTCAATGGTGGACTTAATGCGCTGTACATTTATGTGGTTGAAACTATTAATTTATTTGATTTGATAAGCAGCTCCTCCATGATATTTTACACAAACGTCATCACGACAAGGTCGTTGACCCATCCCATCAAATAAAAAAGACAAAAAAAAATCTACAATCTTATCTCATTGTCAGTTTCATAATCTTTTTTCCAGTAATACTAGTAGTATTTGAAATTTATTCGTTTAATCTGTACCTTACCTTTTAAATCAAATGATTATAAGTTGGATAATGTACCCTTCAATATTTAAGTTGGATTCAAATTCTCTTTTCAAAAAGTTATAATTTGTTAAAAAAAAAGAGACGGTAAAATATATTTTCTATTTACTTGGAGTACCATTTATTTATTATTTTTTTGTTTTAAAATAATAGATAATTTTAACTTTATCTTCAAATTAAAAATTTTAAAATAATTTTTATTTTTATTTATTTTACCTTTAAAAAAATAAAAATAATATGCTTCTTTCACTCTACATCCCTAGCTTTCTCAACAAGCACTACAAGAAAAATGATTTTTTACGACAGAAATTTGTGATGAATTTTGAAATCATCACTATAACTTATCACAATTATGACAAATCTAAAAAAGTAGTCATAGATACATACATATTTAATTATGAACAAAAAAATTCATCATAAAAAATATATTTCGTTACCAAAAAATATTCATAAATATAAAATAAGCTTTTGTCGATAAAAATCATCACTATAATGCATTACAATTATGACAAAATTTTAATATTGGTCACATATACCTTACACATTTAATGATGACCAAATAATTTAACACTTAAAAATATATTTCGTCACTAAAAATTGTCAATTTTCTCTAATCAATGCATCCCACATCAATAAAAAACACATAAGAGAATAAAGTTTTGCACTATAAATATATCCCACATCAACAAAAAATATTTAAAAAAATAAAATTTTGCATTATAAAACATGTGAAACTCAATAAAACTTCAGATTAGTTTGGACCTGATTAATTTTAATTGGGCTTGATTAATTAATTTTAATTGGGTTTGATTAATTTTAATCAAAATTGATTAGTATTGAAATAATAATATTTTTTATTAAACTTTTATGATAAATTTATATATTATTTTTTTGTGACAATTTTTGTTAAAATATTTGTGTTGTAATTATATAAATATCGTTTTTATTTAATATCAATTTTAATAATTAATAACTAAATTTTGCATCATAATTGCATTTGTGACAAATGTTTTTTTGTGACGAATAAAATTGTTATAAATAACTTGTTAACAATGTCAATTTTTTTTATCACTATAAAATTATTTTCTGTGACAGGTATTTAATTTGTCATTAACAGCATTAGTGACAAGGGTTTTACTAACAGTTTAAATTTTATCATTAATAATAATTTGTAACGAAAAATAAAGATTTAATTATCAATAATTTAGTCACTAAATGTGAATTTTCTTGTAGTGAAGGGACCCAATTGAGAATTTTCTTCCAACTTTTCTAACATCAACTTTTTACTAAACATGAATCTCAATAACTTTTTTGCTAAAAATTAAACTTTCTCAATCAAGTTTGGTTTTCAAACCCATAGTGGTGAGGCTTGAATTAGGGAGTCTTGTTTACTGATGTTTTGGGGGTGACAGAATTGGTCGTGAAAGGCATAGGTGGGGGAGGTGTCATGGATGTTGGTGCTTTAATTTGTCGTGAAAGCCGTTATTTTGACTTAATTTCTGGCTATTGTGAGCAGTAGTTTCTAATTTTTTGTTTTGAAGTGTTCAGCTCTTACTGCTGTTTTGGGACTGTAATATTTTATCATGGAGTATTTCTTATTCTCCTTAATATTATAAATTCAATTTGATTGGCTGAAAAAAAAACAAAAAACAAAAAACAAAAACAATAACAAAATGGTCTCTAAACCAAACTGGCACCCCTTAATGTGGAGATCTCATTCGATATTAATGCGTGGTGAGAATATGGAAAGATGAAACAAGTGGTTTTAGACAACATCTTGGTCTCCAATATATCCGACCGAATCTCACCAAATTTTAGAACTGGTTGCAAACATGATACAACTGGCAAAAAAAACCCAAAAATAAATAAATAAATAAATAAAGAATCCTGATTTACATTCTCTGGGACCCGGGGGACCACACAGACAGATTAGTTGCGTGTGACAAGAACTATTTTTTAGAAAAAGCAGCTTCTTAAAAGCTGTCCCATCTATGGTCCAACTTATGCCGGCACTTCTTGTATTATTCTAATTTTCTAACTCTAAGGATGAGCATTAAAGAGAAATATGTTCCATCATCACGTACTCCTTAAGTAACTAGGAATATGTTGTACCATAATCGAAAATTTTTCTCCTTGGAATATTTTCATCCATAGTTAAAAAGTTTTCTCCTTGCAATATTTGCACCCATAGTTGAAAAATTGTCCTTGGAATATTTGCACCATAGTTGGAAAATTTTCTCTATATAAGGATCAGGAGGCTCACTTGTCTGCTTTATCGCACTCTCATTTTGTCCACAAATTAACACCTAGAGGCTGCTAAGGGTGGGTGTGGTTGTCATGGGTGATATAGTGTTAACTAGAGTTCTGCCTGGTGGTTCTATAAACACTGGTGTTCTTAGTGTCTCAAATCGGTTTGATGTCGCACGCATGCCGCCAATTGAAGAGGGACATAATTCAGCAGTGCTGATGGCAAGAGATGCTCGTCAAGAAGGCGTCATCCATCGTTTCAACTTCAGAAGGAGGGCGGATGGAACCAAGCAAACTCTAACTGGTATGAAGCCATTCTTTGAACGTCATGAATTGCAAGCTGGGGATCAAATTATGATCTCTCTTGTGCAAGAAGAACTGAGGTTATTTGGAAGCGTCATTCACCGCCGCCCAGTTTATTCAATTGATTTTGAGAGGGAGCCGTAGTCTAAATAGGTATATTTAGATTGGAATGGTTTTTTTCTTTATTAATATATTTTTATGTACGGAGTCTTATTTTACCATTTGATCTATTTTAAACTATTGTAAAAATAGCTCTTGGATAGGAGACAAACCATCCAAGAGCCTGGAGTGCATTAAATATTTCTGCGGAATAAGCTACTTAGATAGAAACCATTCCCTCGCTCCATGTGGATACAGAATATTGGCCCTAGTCTAGGCCTAGGTTGTAATGTTCTTTTACTAAATTAATTAGTTAAATTGTCTATGACAAAATGATTTTTACATGCAGCTACAGTATCACCGGCATGGCTTCTTAACTTTTTCAACTCTATAGGACTGTTTGGTGGAGTAAAAGGCCAATTAACTTTTAATAAATCTCTGTCATTGATTTAAAAATTTGTAATAAGAGACATCCCAAAATAATAAAATTTGACTGCCACACGCTTGAACTCATGTGATATGTCGTTACATTTTAAGGTGTCGCTTTTCTTTTCTTTTTATTTTTTGGATAATATTAAGGTGTCGCTTTTCAAAATGTCACTTCCGAGTCCGGAAAATTCTATGATTCCACCAACTTTGATTTAACAACCTGATTACCTGATTTGCTGTTTGGTGGAATAAAAGGCCAATTAACTTTTAATAAATCTCTTTCACTGATTTAAAAATTTGTAATAAGAGACATCCCAAAATAATAGAATTTCACTGCCACACGCTTGAACTCATGTGATATGTCGTTACATTTTAAGGTGTCGCTTTTCTTTTCTTTTCTTTTTTTATTGATAATATTAAGGTGTCGCTTTTCAAAATGTCACTTCCGAGTCTGGCAAAATTCTATAATTCCACCAACTTTGATTTTACAACTTGATTACCTGATTGCCTGATTATGACCTGAGCGTGCCTGCGTGCATGAGAATTTTATAATATATTTGATTTAAATAAAATAGAAGTGAAAAGAAGTTGACCTTAATAATATTTTTAAATATAATAATTTTATTTTATTAAGATAAAAAATAATGTCTCACTATGATAATACATAAACATTAGATCAACTAAATCAAAAAATTTCCAACTCTCACTCTTTCCATCCAAATATGTCCGTCTTCTTTTTTTCTTTTTAAACTAATTTATTTATTAAAAGTTATCTTTTTCCATCTCAAAGAACTAAATAATACGAAAAGATGGAACATATAATTTAGTACTTAGAAATCGCACTTATTAATTAAATAAAAACTCAAATATTTTTATTAATTCAAGTTTTTTTTTTTTAATGTATTGAGTCCTATTTTACCATTTGATCTGCTTTGAACTATTAAAAAAACTCTTGCATATGAGACAAACCCCCATCTCAGAGTCTGAGTGCATTATTAAATAATACTTTGATAGGAACCATTCCCTCGCTCCGTGTGGATCCAGAATATTTGCCCTACGCCTAGGTTGGAATGTTCTTTTACTGAAATTTTAATTAATTAAATTCTCTTTGACAAAAAGATTTTTTTAGCAATGATTTAAATAATTTAATAATAATTTTTTTCTACTAAAAATTAAAAATAATAAATTGAGTCGTATGATAAATAAATAAGGTGAAATAAAAATGAAAAAAAAAATCATCTCTTATTGTGCAATTAAGATAAAAAAAAACTTTTTCTACTAATCAGGACAGTTTGGTGAAGTTAAAGGAAAATTAACTTTTAAATAAATGATTTAAAAATTTGTTATAAGAGATATATGAAAATATTAAATTCAACGTGTTCACATGTAGCAAAAAAATAAAGGATTTTTCTAATATATACCTTACAACCTTGAAAAAATAAATATTAACATTTAATTTATCATTTTTATAATTAAATTTATCTAAGTAGCAATAACTCTAAAATTAATTTCAATTTTTATATTTTTTGTACATATTTATGATAAAAAGACACTCTTAACTTATATTTTAAAAACACATGTTAAAAAATAAAAATAAAAATAAAAAATCATCTTGATCACACACGTGTACTCCTATGTCCCACAGTTTCCAAAAAAGTATCGAAGTATCGCTTTCGAGTTTGGAAGGTTCAACCTATTCCACCCTCTAATTATCAGGGTAATGGTGAAGTCATGGCTGACTGGGATGTCAAAGCATTATAATCAACGCCAGCTGCGATTAAAAATCATTTATTTTTCGTTGATTCCAACGTGGGCGTGCCTGCGTGAGTATTCTATAGTATGTTTGGTTGAAGTAGAATACAA